TTAGTCCCAGTACTCAGCAGGCAGAAGCTGGTTGATCTACAGAGCTACACAGAGAAACCGTGTCTTGAAAAACAAAACAAACAAAAGAAGAAACAGTAATGAAGCTAAACTCCATAAAATTGGATAATATCAATGTTGCTAGGGTGTTTGGGGAAACGTGACCTCTTGGACTTCTGGGTGGATTGCAAAAGGGTACACGGACACCCAATTTGGCAATACTTATTAAAATTTAAAATGTGCATACCCCCACCCCTGTATGTGTAGCTCTGACCATCCTGGAACAACAGTGGCACTTCCACAGAAATACTGGCACATGAACAAAAAGATGTTTGCATAGGAATGCTCAGTATTGAACTATTTGTTAAGCCAAAAAACATGCCCCCCCCCAAAAAATCCAAAGCTGAAATAGTCCAAAATCTAATGCAGCAAACTAAGTAAGTTATAGCACATTATACCTTAAAACATCTATAAGCTAGAGCTAGAGCAAGAGCAACACAAAATAGTGGGCTAAATATGTCCACACGGATATTTTAATCTATCCAAGATACAGTGGTAGGGAAGGCATGCACGTTTCAGAAGAGCTTGAGTGGAACTCATTTCTAGTCTTTGTTGTTGTTATTGCTGTTGTTTGTTTGGTTTGTTTGGGTTTTTGTTTTTGAGACAGGATTTCTCTGTGTAGCCCTGGCTGTCCTGGAAATTTCTCTGTAAATGAGGCTGGCCTCGCATAGATGGGACTAAAGGCATGAGCCACTACCACACCCTGGCTTCATTTTAGCTTTTTAAAAACAGTAAAATGTATATTGGAACAGTATATAACAATTGTTGTTTAGTATCTCGGTAAAAGCTTTGAATTTCATTTTCTCTTCTTCCCTCCCTCCCTCCCTCCCTCCCTCCTTTCCCTCCTTCCTTCTTTCTTCCTTCCTTTCTTGTGTGGAACTAAGCCCAGAGTCTTATATGAGGTGGGCAAGCTCTCTACCACCGAGCCACTCCAGCAACATAAATTTTTAAATTATACATTTCTGTACTTAGGTTGGTGTCTGTGTTAATAAAACACATTTATTACTTTTGTAATTAGAAAAGAAGATTTTTAATATCAGTCTACAGGAAGTGCTGATCTCTGCACTCAGCATTTACAACTATTAAGAGGGCTCTCGACAAATGTCTCAAGTCTTTTTCCAGACAAAGGAACACTCAATTCTACACTGACACTGGGACTCTATTCTCTGTGCTGTCTGAGGTGGAACAGGATTCCACCCTGTAACCATTAGGGAGAAACCGAGACCCAGCATCCAGGGCAAAAGCTGAGAAGAGTGGCCAAAGAGTTCGCTCCAAGGAGCCAGGGAGAGGTGTAAAACTGACTGGAGGAGACCCGGCACACAGGGCCAGCTCGCACTAAGTGGGAGTGACCGGTGGCCCTGAAGTGGGCCTCTCAATGGAGAAGAGATCCCCACATCCTGAGAAGAAGCCATGAAGAATGCAAACTGTCAGAGAATGAGTATCCGCAGAGTAAAGAAACAATGACGGCCGAGCACTGAGCTGGAGAGAGAGACAGCTCATCGGATAAAAAGTCCTTGCTGCTGGCGAGTGAGGATCAGAGTTCGGATCCCCAGCAAACCATGGGTGGCTCTCAACCATCTCTTAGGTCTAGTTCCAGTGGATCCAGTGCTCTCTTCTGGCCTCCGAGGGCACTACAAACCTGTGGTGTACATACATAAATTCATTCATACATACATGCAGGCAAAATACCCATACGCATAAAATAAATCTTTTTTCTAAAACAGAAATTAACAATCCTGTTGAAAAGTATGTAAGAAAATAAATGAATTAGGCAAAAAGGTAAGCTTCAGTTTAGTACACACACTCACACACATATACAAGCACACGCCCCCCCTCCATAAATGAATGCCCACATGCAGTTGAACATGAATACAGAGATGTGCCCGTACACTCATAGAAACAATGTACAAGCCAGCTGTGGTAGCTTATGCCTCAGTCACACTACTCAGGAACCTGAGGAAGGAAAAGTATCAAGAGTTCAAAGCCAGCTTGGGCAACATAGTAAATCCTAAGCCAGCCTGGGCTATAGGGTAGGACCCAGCCTCTAAGAAACAAACAAACACAAATCAAAACAACTGAAAGAAAGAAGAAGAAGCAATAAGGCATGAGACTCGTTTAAATATCCTATTTTAGATGGTTTCAGATTTTTAAAAAGAAAAAAATTACCTTCCTAAAGTATGCATTTTTTCTTTTAGGTGTAACTTCAATTTCTTTCCGGTCATAGGCCTCTGAAAACTGTCATACTTCCTCCATGCAAATATTTGTTAAGACTGCCTCATCATATCACATCAGCTAGAGGGTCTTTTACAGAGTCCAGCTCTTCCTTTGACAGCTGCTTTTGGGAAACAGGCTTCATGCTGGACAGTTGCTGCCAGGCAGAACCCTCCAACCCCTGAAGGGTAAAGCTTATGCCGCCATCTCCACCCCCCCGAAGGCTCTGTGTTGGCAACCCCTAGGGCAGCCAGTCATTTCCCTCTGCAGCAAGGTAGGGTGAGAACTCCTTTTTAGGCAAAGCATTAAAAGGAGTTGGCTGAGCAGAGCTAAAAAAAAAAAAAAAAAAAACAAACCTTGGTCAACAGGGTGGAGCCAGTCCTGGGGAAGAAGTATTACTTCACAGTTGCATTGACTTCCTGTGGCTGCCAATTGAGGCAGCATCTGGCAGGCAGCCTACCAAAGGGAAGAGGGAACTCTGAGGAGGAAAATAACCCTGAGTACAGTGCCTTGCACTTCTAATCCCAGCACTGGGGAGGCTGAGGCAGGAAGATTGTTACAAGTTCTGTACCAGTAGCTTGGTCTATACGTAATAAGTTCCAGGCCAGCTGGTAAAAAAGTGAGATCCTGTCTCTAGAAGAAGGAGAAAAGAACAATGAATCCTCCAAGGTAGAAATGTAAGCAGCCCGGGACCAAACTGTCTGCTAGTCTTGCCATTCTGTGGGACTTGGCACGCAGCATCCTTCCAGGCTTTAAATGCTGGATGTGTTGACCACGGGTCAGTAGTCCTGACACTTGAGAATTTGTGGCAGGAAGATTCTGAGTTCAAGGGCAGCCTGGGTTTGGACATACATAGTGAGTTTTAAGCCAGCCTGAACTACATAGTGGGACTCTCTCTTAACCAAAACCAAATAATCTTAACACTCAGAAGGTAGAGGCTAGAGGATCAGATAGTTACATGCTGATTTCCAGGTCAGCCTTAGCTAAATAAGACCCTAGCTAAACACACACACACTCAATGAGACAGGTGCTATTGTTACCTCCATTTTCAGTTGGGAAAATAAAAGCCCAGAGGAGCCAGGATTCAAAGCAGGGTGACAGGCTCCACAACCCCTCACAGATTCCATTGATTCCCCCAAGAGAAAATCAAGAACGTGAGGTTTTGCCAGCCCAGCTGACACTGTGGATTGCAGTGATCTCGCCTCCTCCCTGGTAAGTAGTATTTGGGGTTTTCCTTCCTTGCACACAACCAGGCAAATGACAGCAATTCTAAAAGGAGATACATATAAAAACAAGAAGTGAAACGCTGCAGACACCTGAACCCGAGCTTTGCTGCAAGCAGAGAGCCTGCAGAGCCACGACACAACAGAAATACTTGTGTCCTGTTTAGATAGGCTTTGTTTTGCTACATGGCTGCATGTGCAGAGAAGTGATAGCAAGTCCTGGGGGTCCACCACTCCTTTGATGAGTTAAACACACAAAGGCCTACATTTTGATGCAATCTGATAGCATGCAGTTAAGTCCCAGACGAACTGCCACTGTGAGGAAGCGATAAACACAACTTCCTGCACAAAGCCGCCTGAGATAACACTTTCCATGGACCAGAAGAGGGAAAGAGAGAGAGCGCGCAGGACATGATTGCTGCAGAATTTAAAAGGAACCATTCAGCCCTTAATAAATAACTTCTTTTTTGATGTGGTCCCAGCAAACACCTAAGCAAAACCGACGGTGACCAGGTGACCCTGTGGTAATCCCACGTTAGGACTTGATTCTGACTTATTTTTAGGCAAAGTCACTCAAGATTTCTCTCTTATTGATAGCAAAGCCCTGAGTCCTCAGGTAACTCCTTTGCCCCATAAACTTCACTGAGATATAACAAGAATTCAGATGGAGAGAACTGAGAGGCGGCAGTGGCTGGCAAGGGGGTGTTCTTAATTGAGCTACTAAAGAGGCCCATTCTGTCTAAATAAACACACATCGGAATAAATGCCAACTTGCCTAGTTTCTGATAGCTGTTTCCACAATGCCAAAATAGGGTCAAAGGGGCGATTTCACTGAGTATTTGTGTAGGTTGTGTCATATATAAACAACCAATAAAAGCCAGGTGTGGTGGCACACGCCTGGAATCCTGGTTCTCTGGAGTCTGAAACAGGAGAATCCAAGTTCAAGGCCAACCTGGAACACATTGCAGGACCATGTCCCAAAAACATTCAAAAAGAACCAGTAAGTGTACAATGTGTTGGGGCTTTTCTGCTAACATATCCATGCATTCCCTCAGTCACTAATACAACAATTTCTTTCATTTAATTTCACCTAGGAACTAGTACTTTTTTCATGTGTGCAGTATATATGTACATGTGTGTATTAGTGTTCATGAATGTGTGTGTGTGTGCAGGCATACATGCACATGTTTGTGTACAAGTGTGAATGCCAGAGGTCAATCTCGGGTGTCCTTTAGATGTCATCTACCTTGTTTTTTGAAACAAGGTCTTGCAGTGGCCTGGGGCTCACCAAGCTGGCCAGTGAGCCCCAGGGATCTGCCTGTCTCCCCCACCCCCCACCCCCACTGCTGGCATTACAAACAGGCTACTGCATCAGGTTCTTTTATCTGGGTGCTAGGGATCAAATTCAGGCTACTAAGTAACTTCCTCCTCCACTACAAAGCAAATCTTCCCTGAATCACCACTCTGTACCAGGAAATAGTGGTAAACACAGGGGAAAAAACCCCAAAGACATGACTTAGAATTTTCCAGCATACCTAGGGAAACAAACACTAGGATAAATTCACAAATAAATGTGTAATGCAAACACCATTCGGTGCTCTGAAGAGATAAGGACCGAGCGGTCTGCTTTTAATGAGGGAGTCAGTGAAGACCTGACCTATGCAATGGCAAGGCCTGAATCATCTAGGCCAACTAGGAGAGCAGGAAAGAGCTCCAGAAAATAGCTATGACAGACAGCTTTGAGGGGTCAAGAAGACACAGAGGGAATGTCACCAGGCTGGAAAGTAAGGAAAAGCCAGATGGCGCAAGACTTGTAGACTACGTGTAGGAGCTGGGTTTTAGTCTTAACACCTGGTGAGTAGCCCACTAATTCTTTTTTTTTTTAATATGTATGGTTGTATGTGTGTGTGTGTGTGTGTGTGTCCGCACACGCGCTGGTGTTCTTACACAGATTTGCGCACATGAATGTAGAGGGGAGAAATTGACACAGAGGATCTACCTTGATCACTCTCCACCTTGTATATTGAGGTCTGGTTTTTCACTTGAACCCAGAGCTTGCCAATGCAGTTCATCTGGCTAGCCAGCTGGCTCCCAGTCTCTGCCTCCTGGGTGCTAGAATGACAGAGGCCATCGCACTGCCAGCATTACATGTGTGTGGGGACCCAAACTCCAGCCTTCACATCAAATGGCAACTGCTTTCCCACTGAGCCACCTTCCCAGATCTGTACTCAACTTCTGTCTTCTAGACTTCCTGGTGTTGAATCTCCAAACCAATGTAGCAGTTTTAACATCCTCCAGGAGAAACTGAGATCAAATTCCTGCAGGAACTTGGAGCATCAAAGAGTTCTACTAAGTTCAGTCTATTTGGCTAACCCTCTGATGGGAATAAAATTAGGGCTATAAAAAATTAAGTAATTGAACTCATGTCATTTTATTATTTTAATGTGGTCCTAGATAGGGTTCTTGTATCTAGACAGGACTTTGGTACTCACGTGAGCCCTTTTTTCCCCATTTTACAAGGGAAGTGATGGAGGGCCTGAGAGCATGCTGGTTTTAGCTCCTAATTCTGAGTAGTCTCCTCCATAAAATAGCTGTGCCTGAAGAACTAACATCAGAGCTCCTTGTAAAGCCAAGGCTCAGAATCTGTATCCACGTTGCTAAGGGGGCCTCTGATTCATCCCTGTCATCCATGTTGCTAAGGGGGCCTCTGATTCATCCCTGTCTCCTAGGCTCTCTCACTGACACTTCTTTGATGCCTCCCACAACACCCATCCCCACCCCCGTGAACACCCCCCCTCCACGTGTTCCCCCTGTCTGATCCCACCTTCCTGGATCTCATACTGTGCACTCTCCTTCACAGAGTCTCCACATTATGCTTTTGAGACTCCTCTGTTGGAGTCACTGTGGTGGGAAAGCTTGACCCAAAGGGCTGAGAACTGGGTGTCCCAGTTCTACGAGCCCTGCCATGTTGAGCTTTCCTTGTGGATTGCTGTTATTCTAAAACCAACACCCCCGTATCTCTGAGAACATATTCTGTGTGAGGCCCTTGGACAATCTACACCTCACCTCAAGGGATTCTGAAGTGCTGAATGTGAAAAGAGGTTCCCTTTTCACTCTGAGACAACTGCTGAGGGCCACCGGGTACCTTCAAGGGACGTTGAAGAATCTAAGATTGAACAAAATAACCAAAAGCCCGAGCCTTTGGGCACTACCATTGCTACTCAGATTGCATTCTGCATTCGTACAGGGCATGTGTGTACACATCTGTATGTGCACATCTGGAGGCCGGAGGTCAACCTCAGCTGTCATTCCCTAGGTGCTGCTCAAGCTGGTTTTTGAGACAGAGCCTTTCACTTGGCCTGGAACTTGCTGATTAGCGTGGCTGGTCACTGAGTTCTGGGGACACTCTTTCTCTGCTTCTGGCATGCACTATCATGCCCAGCTTGGTTACATGGTTCTGGGGATTGACCTGAGGTCCTGCTGCTTGCATGGCCATCTCCACAGACCCCTGTAGCAGCACTCTGATCTCAGCAGTTATTCCATTGACCTTAGGCACAGTCCTTACCCCATCTGGGCCTCTGGTTGCCTTCAGATGATGCTCAGGTCCTCGCGTGCTCGCACGCTGGTATCCACAAATCAAAACATTTGGAGTCTCAACAAAAGTTGCCTTTAATACCAAAGAGAGATATTAAAGGCAAGGAGAGGGAGGGGGAGTGAAAGGAGGGAGGGAAGGAGGAAGGAAAGAAACAGGAAGGAAGGGAAAGAAAGAAGGAAAAGAGATGGAGGAATAAAAAGAGAAAGAAAGAAAAGTACTTAATGAACAAAAGCTAAGAAAGGCAGGCTGGGAAAGGTGTTTTCCAAACCTTAACTGACCCGCAATGACGGTATAGTGGTGAGCATAGCTGCCTTTCAAACCGTAGCTACAATGTGCTGAGTTTTTGCTGTGAATCCATGCTTATTTAGCTTTCAAAACACAGCCCAGCAGAGACCACCTAGAGACCTTTACACACTTCGAATCTGAAATGGGAGAACGGCTTGTGTGCTAGCTGCTTCTGTTTAAGAAAATGAAAGATGCCAATGGAAAAGCCACGTGGTGTTTTTTTTTTTCCTTTAAACCTAAAATGCTTTCTCTCCGGAGGATATTTTTTAGTTATTGAAATTTGTGAAAAGTGTCTAGCCCAGCACCTAACGTTCAGCAAGTGTTTGATCAATGCTGGTTATGCTTCTAGCAAAAGAGAAACGGACAGAGGCATTGGAAAGTCTGAATTTTAGTTCTCTCTGTGGCTGTGGTAAGCAAGCCCTCTCTCTGCCTGCTCTTATACGATGAGCAAGTTGGGGACTGGAGAGATAGCTTAATGATTAAGAGCCCTGGCTGTTCTTCCAGAGACCCAATTTCAATTCCCAGCACCCACACGGCAGTGCACAACTGTCTGTAACTCTGATTCCAGGGGATCTGATACCTTCTTGTCAAAATAAAGTTTGATAAATTATTTTTAAAAAACCATGAGCCAATTCAGCAGAGCTAAATGACCTGAAGGGCTTTCCCAACTGGTATTCTACAGATACTTCTAATTCATTAGGGCCTCCATGTTCAAACAGCTTTTCACACCTGTGGATATTTCTTTACACTGTGTGAATATGCGTCACTGTGATTGGTTTAATATAGAAGCTGACTGGCCAATAGCTAGACAGAATAAGGTCGGGGGAGAGCCAAACAGGTAATTATGGGAAGAAGAAAGGAAGAGTCAGAGAAGTAGCTAGCAGACACAGAAAGAAGCAAGATGAACATGCCATGCATAGAAAAAGTGCCCAGCACCATGGCAAAGCATATATAAAAATATGGGTTAATTTGCCCAGTGGTGGTGGCGCACGCCTTTAATCCCAGCACTTGGGAGGCAGAGGCAGGCAGATCCCTGTGAGTTCAAGATCAGTTTGGTCTACAAGAGCTAGTTCCAGGATAGGCTCCAAAGCTACACAGGGATACCCTATCTCAAAAAACCAAATATGTGTGTGTGTGTGTGTGTGTGTGTGTGTGTGTGTGTGTGTTAATTTAAATGTAAGAGTTAGCTAGTAACAAGGGTAGACTATTAATATTAAGGCTTCAAGTTGGTTATTTGGGAACTGGTGGGCAGTTCTGACTACACACATCTTATTATGAATCTCTTACAGAATGCGTGTGAAGCTCACCCTCAGGAGGCTAAGCCCAAGTTCAAGGCCAGCCTCGGCCACTTAACAAGTCTCTGCCTCAAACAGCCTGGATGAAGTCAGTCATGATGGCACATGCCTTAAATCCCAGCAGAGGCAGGCAGATCTCTAGGAGTTCGAGGCCTGGTCTACAGAGTGAGTTCCTGGGTAACCAAAGCTACACAGAGAAACCCTATCGGAAAAACCAGTTGAGAGAGAGAGGGATAAATGGGTTAACATTTGCCTAAGAGATGATTTGTGGGGGCAAACTCTGAGCAGCAGATCCTGGGAAATGCTGCCTGGGGGAGTCTAGTTCTAATGTGGCCTGTGGCCCTCTGCATGGTCGTTAGTCTCCCCAGACTCTGACCATCAACACAAATCCCAGCACCCTCTGAAGATGAGACACTTCCTGAAAGTGCTACTTCCCCAAAAGTTTGCTTTTGCTGTCATTGTTTTGCTTTCCCAACCACTGTCAATGGTTTTGGTCCAAGCTTCATCCACCCATCAATACTCCAAAAGGAAGAGGGGAGGGGGGAAGCTATTGTGTAATGTAAAAATTTTGGCAAATCTTATGAAAACACATTCTTAAAGCATCTTTCATTTTGGAAAAACAAAATGTATGAATTGTTTTCTGTTTCATGATTAACAATGATTCCTGGCTACAGGGAGGTGTTCTGGGCAAATCTACATAAAATAAGAAATGAAACACTCAACTGGAAAAAATGAAAAAAAAAAGTTCCATTAGAAAAACAAACCTTGAGCCGGGCAGTGGTGGACACCTGCCTCTGCCTCCTGTGTGCTAGGATTAAGGCAATCTCTGAAAGTTCAAGGCCAGCCTAGTCTATAGATCGAGTTCCAGGACAGGCTCCAAAGCTACACGGAGAAGTCCTATCTTGAAAACCCGAAAACAAAACAAAATAAAATAAAATAAAAAAGAAAGCAAAAGAAAAACAAGTCCCAGTTAAGTACCTCCTTTCTAAAAGATACTGAACTTTGCCTCAAAAATTGGGCAAGTTGTTATGCACCAGGCTAATCTATCCAGGTTTTAACAACAGCAACTGTCTTTACCACTTCTTATCATTTGCCACATGTGGCTATTGACCATTTGAGATGTGACTATGTTAAATGCTCACTGGAGTGAGAAGAATTAGAAGAAAAGATATAATTGGGTCAGATATTGCAGTTCTGTTGGTAGACTGCTTTCCTAGCATTCAGGAAGCCCTGGGTTTGACCTCCAAAATAGCATACAAGTGGGCACAATGGCACACACCCAGGAGGATCAAAGTTCAAAGTCATCTAAGATAGAAGAGAACACAAGACCCTGTCTCAAAATGGAGGGTGTGGGTGAGATCTCTCATTAAGAAAGCTCTTGAGCTTAAATTCTCCATACTCACATAAAAATCATGGGAGGACTGTGGCTATGTGTGTGTCTACAAGCCTGGTACTGCGGGAATGAGACAGGCAGGCCCCAGGGCCTCACTGGCCATCCAGGACAAAGCTGAAACACTGAACTGATTCAGCAAGAGACCTTGTCTCACAGCAATAAGGTGAATAGTGACAGAGGAAGACATCCAGCATCTTTCTATGGCCTCAGCACACTCTCACATGGGTGTCTGCATTCATGCATGCATGCACGCATGCACGCATGCACGTGCACACACACATACACACATACACACACACTGTAGTGGTGTGGAAGAAAATGCTCCCCAAAGGGAGTGACACTGTTATGATGTTTGGCCTTGTTGAAATAGGTAAGGACTTGTTGGAGGAAGTGTGTAAATGTGGATGCCGACTTTGAGATCTCCTATGTGCTCAAGCTACATCCAGTGTCTCAGACTACTTCCTGTTGCCTGAGGGATCAAGATGTAGCTCCTTCTCCACTCTCAGCTCCTTCTCCAGCACCATGTCTGTCTGCATGCCACCATGTCCTATCACGATGATAATGGGCTAAACCTTTGAAACTGTAAGCCACTCCAATTAAATACTTTCCTTTGTCACCGCAAGAGAAACCCTAAGACACACATACACCACACACACAAACATACCAAAAAGTAGAAAGAAAAAGAGGTCTCATTAACATTTTTATGGTGATTACACAATGAAATAATATTATTTTTCAAATATTTTATTTAAAATATGTCATTGAATTGCACTTGAAGTTCCTGTAATATTTTTTATGGTAGCGCTGGCTTAGACTCTTAATATTAGACAGTAATTCTAATGTTAGATAGTAATTCTAAGGTAAAAGTTCCCCCTAAGACTCCTTAGTAATAAACATCTTACTCTTATTTGCACTCCATCTCCCCACCCAAATGATTCTGGCCCAATTTTGTAACTAGGAATTTGTACAAATTCCTAAAAGTGGCGTTTATTTATTTGAATGAAAAAGTATTCATATTAAATTGAACAGTAATATTATACTACAACATAATATAATTTTAAAAGGTTCTTTTTATCCATACTTGAAAAATACAAGAGAAACAAGGTATCAGAAATATTGTTAAGTTTGATGATGTCCACTGTTGGTGCAGATGTGGAGAAATAAGCAGTTTAGTGCTGCTTGTGAGAACATAAATTCTCATAAACTCTTTAAAAGACAACTTGACAGCTATCAAACTTTCAATTTTTTGAGATTTTTTTTGTTTTTATGTATACGGGTTTTGTCTATATGTATGTCTGTGCACCCCATGCACACAGAGCCCGTTGAGGTCAGGAAAGGGTGACAAATCCCTGGAGTTACAGAAGGTCGTGAGCTGTCGTAGGAATGCTGGGAACTGAACCCTGGTCTTCTGGAAGAGTGGCCAGTACTCTCCACTGCTGAGACATCTCACCAGCCCCTTCCTTCAAACTATAACGCACTCCCTTCCTATCCATGATTTCTGTATGGGACTACATGATAGACTGACAGATTTCTAGAGTGTCTTACGAAGGTTGGATAAGGGGAACTGTCGTGAAGGCTCATAAATAATGCATTGGCCAAAAGTTCACATATTGCAAAACTGTGCTTCCACAAAAGTACTGATAGCCTCAAATATTGTTGATATTAATATAAATATATGAAATATAACTTATCTTAAAGTAATAAATGAAAAATCACAGTATAGGAATTTGTCATTTACTCAAAATTTTATAAAACTGTTTTCTGCCATCAGGCGAAATAAAAATATAAATCAATCATTAACTTAATAACAGAGGAAAAAGATAAATTTGTATTTTTCTTGGTCAACTGGATTTGAGGGATATGGTGGCCAATATTGGTTATCAGCTTGACACACCTGGCAAGAGGGAACATCAGTTGAAGAATTGTCTCCATCAGACTGGCCTGCAGGGCATTTTCTTGGTTGCTGATTGATGCAGGAGGGCCCAGCTGACTATGGGCGGTGCCACCCCTGAGCAGATGGTCCTGAGAGGTACAAGAAAGCTGCCTAATCACAAGCAGATGAAACAAGCCTGTAAGCAGTGTTCCTCCACGGTCTCTGCTTCAGTTCCGTACTTGAGCTCTTACCCTGATTTCCTTTCATGATGTGCAGTAAAACAAATAAACCCTATCCTCCCCAAGTTAGTTTTGGTCAGTGTTCTATCACAACCAAAGTAGGACAACAGTCCTACACATTCATGCCAGCAAGATGTATTGAAGAGGGCAAATGTGGTGATATTTTGTTTATGATCTAACAAAGCTTGTCTGAAGATCAGAGTGCAAATCTAGCCACACTAGTTAGCCATAGAGGCCAGGTGGTGGTGGCACACACCTTTAATCCCAGCATTCTGGAGACAGAGGCAGAGGGATCTCTCTTAGTTCAAGTCGACCCTAGGCTATACAAGACTGAATCTGTCTAAAAGAGAAACAGAGCTCATACAAAGGTGATCCCAGCACTTAGAGTGGCATGCCTTTAATCACAGCACTAAGTGATGGGGCTGGGTGGGAGAGGACTATAAAGTGGGAGGAGACAGGAGCTCAATGCAGTCTGAGGAGCAGTGCAGTCTGAGGAACAGCGCAGTCTAAGCAGTCTGAGGATGCAGTCTGAGGACAGGATCCCCCCTTTGGTCTGAGCATTGGTAGAGGTGAGAACTCTCTAGTGTCTGACCACTTTGTTTCTCTGGTATTCACGTTAACCAAATGGACCGTGGAGCCAATTGAGACTGGAACACTCCTGAGAAGCAACAACACTGAGGAAAGATAAATCCAGTTTTGACGTTATAAATTTAAAGGGACCTTAAAACATCTGAATATTATCAGCTCGGCTACTGGACCAGTCGCCCCAAAACTCCATGGCAAAAGCCTTTGGGTATCCTTAATTGTAAGGTGATATGAAGGATGGATTTTCTCAGCAGAGGCCAAGGACAGGACCGAGTGTAAGCAAAGTCTTGAAGATTGATGAATAACGCTTCAGAACGTCAGCACATGAATGTATTTGGAAATAGGAATAACAGAAATGTCAGTCAACTAAGATGGAGCTGCGGGGAAAGAGGTAATTCAGACTTGCTGGCACCCTTACAAAAAGAGAAAATTGGAACTGAGGCAGGCACATGGGGAGAGCAACCCTGGAAGATGAAGGCAGCGGTCAGAGCGATACCAACCTCACTGTCCCATCCATCTCTCTCTTCTGACCTCCAGCTATGGCAGCTTCAGAAAGCCAGAAACATGTGACAGCACCAAGTCAGAAACAAAGTCTCAAAGGTCATGGCTGACAAGTCAGATGCTCCAAGACCAAGAAAAATATGGCTCTGGTAAGGCAATGGAGTCATTGATGGCCTTGGGAAGAACATGCTGTAACAGAATAAAAGAAGCGAATGCCAGATAGACGTGATTTGTAACATGAATTAATATGTGACCCAGAGACTGATGTTGGGAAGCAGACTTCAAGCTGAAGAACAGAAAAGCAAAGCAACCAGCCACGAGCTCTCACCTCTAGCTCAGGCTGAAAGGACCGATCCACAAGCTCTTCACCAAGCCTTGAACTGCTGCCTCTCCTCAGTGTGACTGGAGAATGAATGTCTCCTACTTAATGACTTGCTCCTGTCTTATATACCTCCCTCATGCTGGGATTAAAGGTGTGTGACCCCAGGTGCTGAAATCATCTTTGTGTGAGCTGTTTCTCTTTAGGACTGGGTCAATCTTGTGTAGATCTGGGTGGCCTTGGGCTCACAGAGATCCATCTACCTTTTAATCCTGAGTCCTAGAATTAAAAGTGTGTACCACCACCTCCTAGCTTCTGGCTGCTGGGGTTAGAGATGTGTGCCTGGCTTCTATGGATTGTGGCTGACTTTGCTTTCTGAATCCTCAGAAAAACTTTAATAAATCATAAATGATGTATCACTACAGTGATTATTGTGTTGTGTACTTTCTCTACCTCCCTCTTCCTTAGGCATGGTCTCACTAAATTACCCAAACTGACCTTGAACTCCTGATCTCAAGTCATCCTCCCACTTCAGCCTCCTGAGAAGTTTTGTCTGTGGGTGCATGGCACCATCCTTGGCTCTTACAGCTAAATGAGGGCAAATGACTAGGGGAAGAGGAAAGGTTGCTCGTTTTTTTAGAAAGGGTTTCGTGTAGTGTAGGGTAGCCCGGAATACCCTATGTAGCTTAGGCTAAACTTGAACTGTTGATACTTC